TTGTTGGGGGTGATATGCTGACTCTGTAAACCGCTTAGAGAGGGCTGAAAGCCCTATGAAGCAGTATATAAGTCTAACTGCTATTGCTATTGCTAGATTTCAACTTCCAGATTTCCTCAGCCATCATGCTGGTTGGAGGATTCTGGGACTTGAAGTCCATACATCTTAAAGTGGGCTTGGGTTGAGAAACACTGTCTTAAAAGATTAACAGATTCTGGAGAAGACAGTCTTTCAAATTTTATTAGGTTCATGCATATTCTCCTTTGCTTTTTTCCATGGCAGGTATTCCCACATATATTCAGCAGGCATTAAAAGTGTAAGAGCAAGAAGAAAGAACAGAGAAAATGATGAAGAGAAAAGGGAAAACACGATGAGGAAAAGAGATTTTTTTTTTCTGCAATCTTCCTGTCCTATAAATCATAATGTCTTTGACTGAACTTCGCTGTCAGATAATTTATCAAGGAATGAAAAACAAAAAACGAAAGCAAGGGGTGATCCTGTCAACGAAACCAATATTTTAAAAGCTCTCCCAAAGTACTTTATCAAACCTTTCCTAGTCAGGCCAAATTCGCCACATTTCAACCATTTAAATGAACTCCGTGTGAATGAAATGTATAGAGGAAATGATAAAACGTTTGAGTATGTAATCACTTTAGCTGAGCTGCACTACTTCAGATAGTATTGCCGTGGAGAGGAATGGAGAGAGAGAAAAAAGACATTATTATTTTTTCCTAATTTGTCATGCATTTCTGGAGCATTTGAATGGTGGCACTCAAAAGCCACACTTTACCAAATATGTTCTGATATACAAATACAAAAGATTTGATAACAGGTAACAATAGCTAGGAATGAGGATATTAGCAATATTAGGTAAAGCTAAATGTCCCCCCCCCCCCGCACATATGTGCTAGTTGTTCCCGACTCTAGGCGGGGTGTGCATCTCCATTTCAAAGCTGAAGAGCCAGCTCTGTCCGAAGATGTCTCTATGGTCATGTGGCCGGCATTACTCAATACCGAAGGCGCACGGAACACTGTTATCTTCCCACCAAAGGTGGTTCCTATTTTTCTACTTGCATTTTTACATGCTTTCGAACTGCTAGGTTGGCAGAAGCTGGGACAANCATATCCAAGGACCAGTGGTGGGTTTCAACATTTTTTGGAACCTCTTCTGTAAGGTGTGGCCTGCTTTCCGGGTCCACTGGTGGAACCTCTTCTAACCAGTTCAGTAGATTTGACGAACCGGTTCTACCGAATAGATGCAAACTGGTAGGAACCCACCTCTGCCTATTGACCACACAAAGCCTTTATAAGCAGAAGAACACTGACATCCCCTAAATTCCACTGAAGATGTTACGTGGAATGGTAATGAAACTTTTTGAAACCAACCCACAAGCTCGGAGCACAAACTTCTACTCTCATCACAGTTAACTGCAATGAGCTTGAACTTCTACACAATGGAGTCTTCAGAACAAGGCACCATGAAAGGAATGACCTGGTTACTTGGGAAGAACAGATAATTCTCACTTCTGTCCTTCAAGCCTTCCATTTTCCAGAGTTCCTCCATCTCAGTCCAACATAATAATTTCACCTCAGTCGTAGGTTCCATAAGACCTTTCCCTCCTTGTTAAAATATATATGTATATATAAAACACATTAATATCCATCCTTCCCCTACATGGTTAATAGTCCTTTGGTGTCATTTCGAATGAGATGCCAGCAAGGTCTCTAGGATTAAACTTCAACCTGCCTACTTGGTGGAATATTTGATATGAGAGATGCCTACATCTTGTGTCTAGGATTTCACTAGAGAATAATCAAGAACATTAGTAATTAATATTTCCTCGCTCTTCCATTCCTGTATCACAGGACGGGAAGGCAGAGAGGAGAACGGGAGATGTGCCAGACTGCAATTCAAAACTTCCCTGTTTTAAGGCATTGTCGCACTGGATGTGAGACAGTCCCAGCCACTTCTGCTCATCTTTTCATCCACGCTCATCTACCTTCCTCCTGCAGCAAACAGGACCCAGAAATGCTGCTCGGGAAGCAGGAGAGGTAGAGCGATCAAAGGAAACAGAGGGAGAAATAAGTACCAGAGAGTAGAAGTCGCAGCCACCTCATCTCCAAACTCCCTGCAGATTTAAAAATAGATTGTGACCTTGAAGGAAGGTGCCCACAGAACAATTTTTCAGACAACATTTTGACAGCACTATGCAACACATTTGAAGAAAGTGTTAACATGTTTAAAGAGAGACACCTCCCAGTTGATTGTTCAGTGGCACATTTCTTTTAGCAGGTTATCTGAAATCGTTGTTTCAAGCATACATTGTGCAAAGCGTCACACAGGCAAATCTCAGGTTGTCATGCAGAGACGGAACTGTTTTCTTTATCAGCTCTGTAGGTCATAAGTCCACGCAGACAATGTTTCCCCCACTCTCTTGTTCTGCTACTTCTTCTTTCCCACTCGATGTAAGGCATAGCTAGAATCTGGTTTTGTTAACAGGTGGAATGCAGGGGCATACACAATATAACTCAGTAGCAGGGTTCACCGACAAAAGGGTGACCGACAAAACCGCGCCCGACTAAACCGCAGTGACAAAACCGCNTAATCTTAAACAATACATGCCCACACCAGTGGGGAAAAGGCCTCCTTTAAACTTTCACAGCAAATTATTACAGGTCAGGAATCCATTGGACGAGGCAGCCCTCGTTTTAAAAATCATTTTAGATTTTACATTCTATCTTGTTCTGGATTTGAAGGTTCTTATTTTAGAGAGGAACAGTTGTGGGCACCCCCAGGAATTTATAAATCTCTTAGGTCATCTTCCAGCACCTCTCTTCCCCATTCAAGAGTTTCAAATATCTATTTGACAGTCTCTGAATTTTAAGGGATGGCCGAGCCCTCCCCCCCCACCACCAAACTGCCCTCTCCATTGGTAAAATCCTTCCGGTTACTTTCTCACACTTCTCCAGTGTCATATAACCCTTTTCAGATTATGCACAGTTTTATTTTTATTTTTTTTAAAAAGGAGAAGGACGTAGCATTTCAACTTGCAAAAGATGCTCTGGGAGAATATAACCCTGGCTGAAAAAAGAATCACATCATGAATTCAGCTATCTCCATCTCTTTATCTCCAGTTGGGGATATTTGTCGAAGCCTTTATTTTTTTCCCCCCAACAAAACAAAAATTGAATCAGGAACAATGGCCAAATTATATTCGTGGTAGATCATTAACAACGCAGGCTGGGCTTTTCGTTGACTCAGCTGTCCCTTAGAAAGGCTCCTTCTAAGGAAGGATGGGAGGAAAAAGGCATGAAAGAATCCAGATTCAAAATTTAGAAATTTTTTCCTCTGGAGTTGAAATCAACCTTGAGATTGCAAGGCCAGAAGAGGAGGGGTGGGTGGAAATAGCCAACTTTTCGAAGACAGGAGACTCCCACAATACAAATCGGAGTAGAGGTTGCAAAAGAAAAGTTTAAAAATCACACCTACATTGGAGAAAAGAAGGGGGGCAGTTAGGCAGAAACTGGGGGACACATCAAACCCCCCAAAACTCACAGCAGGTCCCACATTCACCCACAGTTGTTGCTTGCAATGTTATTTTCCTCTCCACTCCCACTTCCCTCTTCAAGGCCTTCTTTGTCCACAATTGCATCAGGCAGGCCCCCCAATGCACCCCAATTCCTCAGATCTCCCCAATACTTTGTCAGGGAAGCGTTATCAGGTGTCGGGGGGCCACGGAAGTGCCAGGGAAGGTCTAGAATTCAGCACCTGTGAACTTATGGGTCCTCTTTGGGGGCGTCTGCCTCGTTTGGGGCCGGGCAGCTAAAAAGCTGGGCAGGACCCCCAAGGGGGGGGTCCCAGGAAGATAGGGCCGGTGGATTTTGTTGCCCCAGACCCTGTCCTAGATGGGGCAATGCTAGGTTTTCCTCCAAGAGAGTCCATTTTCTGAAGCCTTTGAATATTCAAATTGAAACTATCGCGCAATCCTTGATTGTCAAATCAATGGATTCTGGAGGTTTTAAATACTTGGCTTGTAGGGAGAAAAATTCAAACTTATATCCGTAGGTATAAAAGATTAATATTGTTTGTCTCCCAGTCAAGAGCTGCAGCAAGGCTTTGGAATTCTTTTTTAATCCCAAAATTCCTCTTTTCTTGCATGTTTTCCTTCTGCTTTAGCTTCTAGCTGTCTGTCCTTGATTTGGTCACCGTTTGGGGTGGAAAGGCAATTGCTCCATTTTCTGCTCCTGAAGAATGTCAGGTAAGTCAAAATTGAATCTTGGGTGTGTTTTTTTGGGGGGGGGGGTGTTTGGGTCAGAGTCCTTCTCTCCTGTATCTTTTGGGATAACTTGCCTTTAAAGGATTTTTTTAAAAAACAAAAAAAAAGAGAGAGAAAAAGAAGGGAGAGAAAGGGGAAATCAGAGGGAGAGATTCCCAAATTCGCAGAGCAATGAAGTAGAATGATTTTAAGGGCATGCATGTTAAACCAAATCCGGTGTAAACTCATATCCATAAAATCCACAAGCACACACACACATGCACTCACATACACACACCCAGTGCCGCTGCACCAGGGCTGAGCAGGGGAACACAGCCGGCCGTTCCCAGCTGTGAATGCTCTGGAATGTGGCTACTCCAAAGATGGTTGTTGAAACCACTCTTTGGGGGGGAGAGGAAGGGGAAAAAAGAGAAGAAGAAGGAAAAAAAAAAAACACCGTGAAGTTATGTGGCTAATTCTTAATCCGCCTGGTTAAAACGTGCAT